AGTAGCGATGCACTTGTTCCTAGTAGCGTTCTTGTTCCTAGTAGTAATGCCCTTTGCTCCTAGTAGCTTCTTGCTACTAGTAATGCCCTTGTGACGAACGGACACCTGCGCATTTCCGGTCTGGGTCCGCCCACATTGTCCACCGCGCATCTCTGGAGCCGCCGGAAAACATCTCCGCCACCCAAATGTTCGTAGACCAAAAGCCGTTGAGGCCTCTGAGGTCCAACCGCTTACGCTTGAGAGAGCGAAAGCGAGGAAACAGACCTTTTAAAACGACATGCCTCTTACGCATACCTCTGGCCACTTTGGAAAAAGAATAACCACTCTAACACAGGCGTTCGAAAAAAAGCATGTGTTTTCCTGTCAGATCGATGAACAGCTGAGATCAAGGCCCGTTCTTTGCGAAGCCCATTAAAATGACCAGATTCGGATGCCGAAACTTGCTCAGCACGCGAACCTCTTCCTCACGGCAAGGCGCCTGCCGGTTGTGCCTACACGTGTAGGGGTTCTTGTTGGAAGTGGCTAAGGACAAGACCTCCTGGATGCTTCCTGGATCTGGGTGAGTTTCTGGAGTTCTTGCCCATCAAGTCAAGATCAAGGTGGCCAAGACCCAACTCCTGAAACTGCCTCTGAGTATCCTCTTAGTGTCCTTGGGCTGGGATAGAAGGCCTCTTGCAACAACAGCATTGCCCTTCAACCAAATATGAGGCAAAGCGGCCTGGCCGCCTAAAACCGCGGCCGCATGACCCATCGAGCGGCCACCCTTTTGGGCCTCGCCACCCAACGAGCGATGGCCTCCCATTAGCGGCTTTGAAAGCCATTTCGAGGCAAAAAATCCGAAACGAAATGATCGGGCCGCACCGTTACTCAACACAAGACAACGTTCTTGGTTGTAAAGAGGTTGCACGGACCAAGTTGTGGCCCCTTTTAAAGCGCTGTGGCACGGTGCAACCACAAAGGGACAAAGCCAAGTCCTCAAAGCCAGCTTCTTCCGGTCCCTCCAGAACCTGCACACAGCGCCGTCCATGAATGCGTCCGACACCAATGCCTGCAATGTCGGCCTTAACGGCAATCTCTGTGCCATCTCGCTGGACGCCACGAAACACACCGCCAAAAGTCCCATAACCTGCGCAGAGCCAATGCGCTAAGCACAGGTGAAAGAAGGTGCCCGAAAGAAGGGTCCCGATGTGTGTCCGGAAGTGCCTGTTGAAAGTACACCTGCAACATCGGGTCCAGATGAAAGAATCGGGTCCGGGTGAGGCAAACCGGAAGGCTACGAGGCTACTTGCTGGACCTAGGCAGACCGGATGGTAACAGCATGATTCAGTTGATTCAGCTCATCTCACCCATCCTCTTTTCTTCAGCTTTGACATCATATCTTTGCATGGGGTTTTGATTCCTTGTCTTCATCCGCTGCCTCCTCCTCCCGCCTCCCGACCTAGGGCCTGAAAATGAGTGGCTTTATCAAATATGCAGTAAACTTTAGCCAGACCTGAGGCCTTAAAAGAAACTATCATCCACAAGACTCAGCCAAAGCTTTGCCAGCCTAAGCGATTGTTCTCGCTGAAGTTGTTGGTAGCCTGCTCACTCAAACATACCAGCAAAAATGTGGGGACACCGGGCAATCGTCGTTGCCACCAACCCCTTCTGGCACGAGCTAAAACTCGGTGCAAAGAAATAAGGCCAGGAGCCAGTAACTTCGTTACTAATAGCAAGAATGCTACTAGTAGTAAGGCCAGGAGCCCCTAATAGCGTCCTTGCTCCTAGTAGTAAGGCCAGGAGCCCCTAGTAGTTTCTTGCTCCTAGTAGCGATGCCCTTTGCTCCTAGTAACTAGACTCCATTCATACCTTTCAACCCTTCTTTGTGAAACATCCTCCAGAATCGCATGGCGAATCAGCGGTTTGTCGGTAAACATATATCCAGAAGGTATGGACTAGGAACACCAAACTAAAACTGCACCCCGTCGCACCCTCCACCCTAGTAGCGATGGCCTCCACCTCCAGGACCCTTGTAGCGATGGCCTCCACCCTATAGTAGCGATGTTATCCACCCTAGTAGCGATGGCCTTCACATTGGTAGTGATGGCCTCCTCCCTAGTAGCGATGGCCTCCACCCTAGTAGCGATGGCCTCCACCCTTGTAGCGATGGCCTCCACCCTATAGTAGCGATTGCCACTACAAACAAGAAAACTACGTCTTTGCATCAGAAGGGCTTTGTTCTTTTGCGGGTTGCTACTGTGTCGGACCTGCAACAGCTCAGCACATGAATATTCCAAACTCAACTGGTTCAGCGCCGTCGCCATACGAAGGCCATGGCGTTGTTGAATCGGAATTGTGAGCGCAGTCGCAATCACACACACCACAATGGCAAAATAAATGAAGATATGAGTGCGTCAGAATGTGCGTGGTTGGATATATCTTGGGTGTGTCCCCGCTCTTCAAACTTTATTGCCTGGTACAACATTTGCTGAATCAAACCATAGTCAAAGCCTGAAAGAAGGAATGCTGATTTAGCCACCCAAGTGGAATTGCATGAGCGACATCTTCTGACTTCTGTGTTTGCTCCGCTAGTGGTTTCCTGAGCGAGCGTGCAAGGCCTTTGATCTTTCGCTTTGATCCAATACCCTTCGGGCCTGAACACACAGGTAGAACCCAAACTCACACATCAGGCTTTCAAGACGGGAAGTTTCACACCCAATGTTTACTAGCTGAAGTCGTTGGAGCACGTCTCACTATCTTCACAATATATCTGCAAATATGCTCATACTGTGCATTTCACTACAGCGAGGTGTGACTTTCGAGAGCTACGGTCCAAAAGGAGTCGTTGATTGCACCCTCAGCAAAACAGAAGGGAGAATTCCGCTCAAGACTGACAAAACAACCATCTCCCAAAGCCCCAAGATCAACCTCCTGGAACTGATTCTGGCACGTGTAAGTACATGTAGGCTGCAGGTGGTGTCTTGTTGGAAATCCGCCAAAGATGTTGTACTGCACTCCACCGAAATTGACATGAAAAAATAGTTGGACAACATATACTCTTAAACAAATGCGTCTATATTACAAAAACCGTTGGGATGCTGTATCTGAAGTCTCCGGAGCAAATACGTAGGTCATCTTCATCTTCCAAAGGTCTCAGGACCGCCCATTTGCACCTGTCGATCTGTTCGAATCAGTCGGCAACCCCGCATTTTCGCGGCTCACGTCTTGTGGAAGCTTTCTGCGCGGGGTGTGTCAGTGGTGTTGCTGGGCATGGAGAGCTCAGCGCCGGCACATTCTCCTTGCCTCGGATGCGGAGTTTTTGTTGAGTTTTCTCTATTGGTTGCATGGATATAGTTTCTGGTAGAACCTTGCGACTTGTATAGTTGACGGTGGAAAATGGTTGAGAGTTTGTTTGATGAAGTAGTTAGTTAAGCTTTCTCTCAGCTCTGACATCGGTTCCTGCCAAGGTTGGAGGCCATTGCTATCAGGTTGGAGGCCATGGCTAGCAGGTTGGAGGCCGTGGCTATCAGGTTGGAGGCCATGGCTAGCAGGTTGGAGGCCGTGGCTACTCGGTTGGAGGCCATGGCTATTAGATTGGAGGCCATGGCTATTCGGTTGGAGGCCATGGCTATTAGGTTGGAGGCCATCGCTATTAGGCCGTGGCTATTAGGTTGGAGGCCATCGCTAGCAGGTTGGAGGCCATTGTTGAAAGTGAAGATCAACCTGGATCTCGGCTCAGCCCGCTCGTTGCCTGACCAACATACTGAACAACAGCGCCAGATGCTCTCTCCAGTTTTTTCCTGGAGTCAGGCGCCATGCCGAAAATGACGTGTCTCGGACTTGGAGTCAGTTGGAGGAACCTTCTGTATAATTTCAAATCAACGGCAAAACTGCAACACCAGTGATCCGTCCTCTGTGCACCTTTCCGGCCTGGTTCCGCCCTGTTTGCCAAGAGCATAGGAGAGCTCGTCATCTTGGAAGGTCATGGTGTCTGTACCCCACGTGCCATCCTGCATCGGGTTCAAACACGGGTTCCAAGGCAAGAGATCAAACGACTATAGCCTGCGCAGCCATGAGAAAACAAATGACTTTTAAACGGCACTTTGCGTCTTTGCTCTGCCCCGTCTTCCCCCTTCCTTTTGTCACGATCAATCACCTTGCAACATGACTGTCTATCAGCTGTTTTCAACCGTTTTGCCCAATCATTGTTCTGTGAAAGAATCTGCTGGCTATCAATCCATCAAAAACAAAAGGCACCCCTCGGGATGGTTTCCATATGTTCTCTAGCTCTCCATCTCTATCTCTCTGCCTCTCTCTCTCTGCGCTTTTAACCAACCAAGCACCCACCCGCCCACTCGTCCCACCAGCCATCCATTGACCTATCTACACTCTACACACATCCATCTATCCACAGCTACGTATCAAGTTTTTACATCTAGCATCATCTAGCCGCCTAGCCATGTTTATTTAACAATCTGTCTATCTTTATGTGGCTCTATCTCTCTCTATGTCTCTATCTCCCTATCTGTTCAGCTTCTCTGTGTCTCACCGTCCGTACATCTGACACTCCACCCCCTTCTCATCCATCCATCTAGTTATTGAAATATCTACACGCTCCACACACTCATGTATTCACATCTACTTATCCTCGTTTACATCCAAGCACATCTACTTCACAATCTCTCTACCTCTCTATACCTCTATCTATCTCTCTATCGCTTCAGCTACTCTCTTCATCTTGCGCTCTCTCTCTCTCCCTCTCTGACACTCTCTCCCTTCTTTCCACCACATTCATCCAGCTAGCTGGCCATCCATGGACCTACCTACAAGCGCACTCAAAGTCCAGGAGCCGTCAAATTTCATGTTCATTCTCTACTCGCTCGATCTCGCTGTGGCAGGCGCCCTCTCTCTCTACCTCTTCCTCCGCTTCTATCCAGCCGTCTGCCGGCCCATCCATTCACCCGACTAGCCATCTAGTGACCTGCCTGTCTGCACTCTACCCACATCCATCTATCCACATCAACATGTTCTTATTGTTTCTTTTCTACCCTCCACATTGCGAAACAAGGTCCTAGGTCTAATTGTGTCTACTTTGCGACAGCTGAAAAAACACAGCGCAGCGGCGCGCACGTTTTCTTGAATTGGCTTGGCAAGGCGCAATGGGTGTCCCTATAGGTTTGTTTCGCTTGTATGGTACACTGTATCGCTGTATGGTTCGGTAGGAAACGAACAGTTTTGCGAAACCGTGACCGCCAGTCACCTTCATCACCTTCCCTTCCCCTGCCTATGTGTAGATTTCATCCTCAGTGAAGGTGGAAGGACAGCACTGACGTTTCCACCACTCTGCCGTTTCCACCACTGCATCGCGGAAGTCCTTCGTGGTCCAAAGGGGGAGATCTCTCATCTCTTCGCGACAGTTCCAACCATCATTCTTCTGCCTTGACGCATAGGCTCTATGTTGCTTCTGTCTACCTTGAGTGGCAGAAGTATTCTGAGATCTTCCCCAGCGCCGGTTTGGCGGTGAAACGAAACAAGGACTGGTTGCGGCGCTGCTGTTCACAGGGCCGACGACCGACGCGATCATTGAGGTACCACCACATCTGGTGGCGGATGGGGCACTCGTAGCCTTGGCCCACTGCGATCGAGACGTTCCGGAAATAAGGACCTCAACAAATCTTAATAGGAGATATCCAAAACTCAACTTCATCTAAAATATTCTAAAGATTCTAAAGTCTCACTTCACACCCGGAAGCGCAAACAGCTGACGATGACTTGAACAAACTAAACACGAACCTTATCATCTTGATTCAATTTGTCAAATAAATAAAACATGTTCGTTGTTGCCTGTAAGCAGCAACGCCGATGAGTCAGCCACAGACTCGCCTGCAAAGATCTCCAAAACATCGCCGCCTGCCGAATTCAAGCCGAATTCTGCCGCGACAACTCTGGCGCGCGCAACGGCCTCTTGATGCACATTGTTGACGCAAGGCGGCGTACCCACGTTCCAGAAGACTTCCGCCTAACGTCACCAAACAGCGACGCGCGCATCCAGAAGCTAAGAGCTAGCGTGCCACAGGGTAGCGCGGAAGCATTCAAACTACGTGCGCGGCGTATAGACGACCCTGTGGGCATATAGACGACCCTGCTGAGTCTCCGCGCCTGGCGGCCGGGCTCCACAAACTTGCACTCCAAGCGATGGGGGGCCCACCCCATTGGAAGGTGCAAATGCTGCCACTTCGTCGTTTTGGCTGAAACGTTTCACTACATCTTTGAGCCGAAACACTGCTCACCGGAAGCGTTGACAATGGACCGGCGCACTCCTGTCACAAGTGAAGAACGCAACAGCGTGAGAATGCTGGAATGACACTTAAAGGCTTGCAACCTCGCGGAGTTCTCTTCTCCAACAAAAGCAGCTCCATCAGATGTCTTGCGGCCCTGGCCACACCTGGGAGACGCAATTGCGTTCCGGGATGCACCGAGCTTCCGTTATTGGGAACGGAATAACCAATGAACTTTAATATAAAACGAATCCATCAAAAAGCCGCGCAGCAATGCAATCATTGTTGAAAACGTCGCAAGACACATGTGACAGTGACTATGGACCAGATCCTATTCCTCCGCCCTTTCACTTCAATCAGCGGCAAATGATCAAACTTTCCAACTACTGCGGCGGCAGGCTCCCAATTGCTAGCTGCACTGGCGGGGCGCCAGTAGCAGCAGGGGTTCCTAGCGGTGGGCCTGGTGCAGTTGCCGCTACATCAGCCAGGTTGGTTGAATTTGACCTTTCCACCGGCGCTGCAGCAGTAGCCGGTGGGTTCTCTGAAACTTGACCTTTGCCACCTGGAGGTGGCAGCGCCAGCCTCTTTTTGTTAGACTTGCCGCTTGCTTTTGATGGCATGGCGGCGACCTTGGCCCAAGAGGTCGTCATTATAGTGCGGTATTTTTACCTTTTCAGTATCTGTGCTGGTTTGTCTTTATTTTCGATGTTTGGACTGCTTACTTGGTTTCCTTGTTTGAGCTGCCGCAGTGAACGGCCGCTGTGGCGGCACATGTTGCAAATGGCAGCGGGAGGATAAAGCGCATGAAACACCGTCAAAAAAAAGCAAAAAAGTGGACGTTAAAAATTTCTTTGTGTGGCTTGAGATGGAGACTTGTGCGTGATGCCTGAGTTATGACGCAATCCACGCAAAGGTTCAAGTCGTAACTTGGAAGTTTCCACCCATCCACCGTAACTTAAAAGTTGCCCTTTGAATTTAGTGGGCTATCCACCAAACAGTTGGTGGGTCAGCCTTGAGCGAGAGAGAGGGAGGAATGTTCCATGTACTCAAGCATCACTTCGTTCCTCTAAAAGGTTTTGATGCCCACATACTTCCTGCTG